ATTAGAAATTACTGATAAATTAAATTCTCCATATGAATTCAAATTATTATTTCGTGGATCCCGTGATGGATTTTATCCTGAAAAGTTTCATAAAATTTGTGATCTTCAATCTCGTACTATAGTCGTTGCTAAAGTGAGAGGCAGTAATGAAATTCTTGGAGGATATAATCCGATCACATGGAAATCTGCTAATAGATATAGTAATACTAAAGATAGTTTTATATTTTCTTTTAATAATAACAGAAGTGAAAATTATATTTTAAGTCGTATAGTTGATAATCGACATGCTGTAGATAATAGATCTTATTATGGTCCATCATTTGGTAATGGAGACCTTATTATATGGGGATTAGATATTAATACACTTAGTACTAATTATTGTTATGCATGTAAAAATTCTTATGAAAAACCGATTAGAGAAACTGAGGATAAATTTTACGTTGAAGAATATGAAGTATTTCGACTGATGAATATTTATTCATGAATTTTTTTTAATAATAGATTGCCTTTATTTATTTATTTATTCAAAAATTACTTTTAAATATAACTTTTTTGTAATAAATAATAATCTTTATTAATAACAAATTATTATTTAAGAGAAATACAAATTAATAATTTGTATTATGATCAGATTTTAATTATTCGGCCAAATAAGACAACTACCAATATTTACACATAACGTTAGTATTATTTTTTATAAGTTGAAGATAATAGTATACTAAACAATAAATTATAATTAATTGAAAAATATAAAATTTAGGTGTTATTAAAACGTTAAAGCAAATGATATTGGATGATGAAAATGCGGATTATTTTGAATTTTAATTCAGTTCATAATAACTTTTTGGTTAATATGTCGCAACGACTTGACATTGCTCGTTTATTATTCTAACAATTATCACATAATGTTTCATATAAAGAGTATTTTTTGGACATGATTTTTTATTTTAAAATTAAATCATCAATGATGCGATGATTTTCAATAAAGAGTCTACTATTTTTGAATGAAAAATCCGTATGAGATTAATTATTCAGCATGAAAAAATACTAATTATGTATTTGTTTGCTTTATTCACATTTTTACTTTATATTATATATTGTTTGTGATTATTAAAAGAATCACATTTCATAAAATCTCCTACATTTAAGACAGAATTTTTAAAAGAAATTAATGTATCAGCGATCATAGTATACATCAAAATTATAACAAGTTATCTTCCAATCTATGTAACTGTCATGGATACTCGTTTTTAACATGAAATTATATAAACCTATATATTCTGCATTATGTCTTTGATAATGATTTTAAGTGATCATAAAAACATGTTATGATGTATTGAAGTCGCATCTGTATAATTGACAGTAAATCTAAATATGCAAAATTAACCCAAAACGCCAAAATCGAATATCGTCAGTATAATAGTATAAAAAATCTAATTCTAACATTACTTACATGTTGAGGCACAATCACTGAAGCTTTAAATTCTACGTTATTTGTCATCAATAAATTTAATAATAAAAATGCTTAAAATTAAAAATAAATAAATAAGCAAAAATTTTCCCGAAAAAACTGACAAATTTATTGTTCTATCTAAAAAAATGAGCGGGTAATTTTTTGTAAAAAATAAAAATACAAACACGTCACAGTTTTAAATTCGTGAGCTAAAAAAAAGTAGTAAAGTGGGATGGCCAGACTTTATAATAAAATTATATCTTAATTCTCAATTTCTATTTGGTCTTTTAAATTCGAAAAATAGCTTTTTGTTATTTACTACGATATTTAGAATGAATTCGAATTTTTAATATTGTAAATATTGCCAGCCGGCAGTTTGTAATTTCAGCTCTGAAATTTCTTTTTTGTTAGTAAGAATATCTTAAATCAAACGTGGCTTTTGTTTCGAATCAACAAACTAGTATAGATGGTGCTACGAATAAAATTTTTAATATTTCTCATCAACCGTTACTAGTAATGAGAAAATTCGAAAGAAGAAAAAGTACTTTAAATAAATCAATTTTCTTGCGTGTGACGACTGTAACGTACTTTACATCTCATACATAATTTAACAAAGCGTGATTTGTGTAATTGGCTAAATGATTTTCCGTTTGCCGAATAAAATTTATATAAATACTTCTCAAATTTCCTTTGACCTTACCTTTTGGTAGAAAATATTTCACATCACAAACGGTTTTCTAATAATTTATCCTAAAAATGACTAAATATTATTGGATTATAGCTCAACATTCTGAGAAAGTTCTTGAAGTTGAAAATGCTTCTATTTTTCAAGGTGCTAAAATCATTCAAGCTTCTAAGAAATTCGATCATGACCCCACCGTAAAGTGTTTAATCTAATATATTAATAAAGTGATGTGATTATTGATTATTAACTGGCCTTTTCCCCTTTATGTTTAGGTTGATGCGCAACTCTGGTATTTTAATGGAGCATTTATTACCAACAAAAGAACTGGGTTCGTGTTCGATGTTGCTGGAGGTATTAAAGTAACAAATACGATTTAACTATTTGAAATCAAAATTTTCTAACCTCTAAATCCAATTCTTTGTTATTTTTACTAAACAAGCGAAATATGAAAATCGTGAGTAATCAGTTAGTTCAGTTTCGTAAAATATTATTATTATAATAAATCTTCGATTGACATTTTCAATATTTGTAAAGGTACACGAATTATTCAATTCGTAAGATATGCCGAATCTTGTGCCGCTCAAGAATGGGAATACAACTATGAAGACAAAACTATCAGTTTGAAACATAATCGAAAATTTGTTCTTGATGTTTTGGTAAAATGTTATTGAAATTACTTGAGATATTAGAAAATAGAGATGGTAATAATATTAATTTTAAATTTCATCTATTTTTACAGGATGCAAAAAAAGATAACAATGCCTCAATAGTCCTGTTCGAAAAGCATGGTCGCGAGAATCAACAATTCATTTTGCAAAAGTGGGATGATGATTCAATGGTCATTGAAAACGTAGCAACAAGCATTATTGACAATTTTAAATTTTTACCAAAATTATCACAAAATTTCCTTGAAATTTTAGATGATGATGAATATTATGATGTTAATATTGAAGTTGGTATTAACCCTCATGTAAAAACATATCACGCTCATATGGTTATTTTAAATTACCGTTCTCCTTACCTACGAAGAAAGTTGTCTACTAATAAAAAAAATAATGATGGGACTTTGGCACGTATTGAACTACCCAATATTTTACCAGAAATTTTTGTGATAATTTTAAGGTAAAATCTAATTGAATCAATGTATAATTAATTTATTTTTATCATTATATTTTTAATCTTAAAATATTGTATTTTTTATGTTTTAGATACATTTATAGCGGAAAACTTACTTTAAAAGAAATTGATCCATTAGACATAATTAAATTACTAGTTGCCGCTAATGAACTAAGTCTTCAGGAGTTAGTTACCTATATTCAATCCTTTTTAATTGAGAATAAAGTAAACTGGATGAAACAGAATTTTGTTTTGATATATCAAACAAGCTATGAAAATGACTTTTTCCTGGATCTTCAAAAATTTTGTAATGATTTAATATCAAATGAACCAGATAAAATATTTAATTTGCCAAATTTCGCTTCAATTCCAGAAAAACTTTTGGTTTCAATTATTCAAGATGATAATCTTCAAATGAGCGAAATTCAAGTTTGGGAGCAAATACTTAAATGGGGAATTTCTCAAAATTCAGAAAAACTTCCCTCTAACCTTAAAGACTATTCAAAAGAAGATTTTAATATTTTGAAGAACACCTTAAAACGATGCATCCCATTTATTAGATTTTACAATTTAACTTCGAAAGAATTTGCGCATAAAATACATCCTTATAAAAAGGTTTTACCAAAAGAATTATATGAAAATCTATTATTAAGTCTTTTGGATCCTGATAATAAGAAAGGTGAATCAAAACCTCGTATAACTCGAAATATTGATTCAAAAAATATTGATTCTAATATTATTTCATCTAAACACGTTGAATTAATCTCAAAATGGGTTGATAGATCAGAAATTACTGACAAGTTAACTTCTCCATATGAATTCAAATTATTATTTCGTGGATCCCGTGATGGATTTTATCCTGATAAGTTTCATGAAATTTGTGATTTTCATTCTCGCACTGTAGTCATTGCTAAAGTGAAAGGTAGTAACGAAATTCTTGGAGGATATAATCCGATTGCATGGAAATCTGTTGATAGATATCGATATAGTAATACTAAAGATAGTTTTATATTTTCTTTTAATAACAACAACATAAATGATAATTATATTTTAAGTCGTATAATAGATAATCGCCATGCTGTAGATAATAGATCTTACTATGGTCCATCATTTGGTAATGGAGACCTTATTATATGGGGAACAGATATTAATACGTTTAGCAGTTATTGCTATGTTTGTAAAAATTCTTATGAAAAATCGATTAGAGAAACTGAAGATAGATTTTCCGTTGAAGAATATGAAGTATTTCAATTGATGAAAATTTATTCATAATTTTTTTACGCAAGGAAATAAATAAACTGAATAAACTGTCTTTTATTTATTTATTAATTGTCCGAATGAAGAGAAAAATACTCATTTATGATTTTTAATTTTTTGGTGACATATCCATATATTTCTTTTCCATTTGAAGATTTCTTTGTTCTCATAAAGACCACAAAAATTTCCATTCATTATTTCAGTATATGCTGAGACGCAATCACGGCTATCAATAAAATTCTGATAATAATGAATCAATAAAATATGAAAATTTCCAGCATTATGAATATCTAAAAGTCCTCTTGCAATATATTGTAATTTATATTATCAATTTTCGATTTATAATTTATATAGTTTTTAGATTCAATTAAATAATTTCTCAAATTCCATCTATATGCCTAAAACTAAAAACAAAGAGGCAATGATTCTTTTGAAAAAACTTTGATAATAGAGCATATTTTTTAAAGCTTTATTCTTTTTTTTTTTTTTAAAGAAAAAATATATATATAGTATGTAATCAAAACATCCCGATTTCATTATTATGAATAATAAAAAATAAATTCATAAATACCAGTTTTATGTTTAAAAAAAAAAAAAAAAAATTGAAACCCAATTTTTCGTTATTTAAAAAATTCTTTAGAACGAATTTATTAAATAATAACAGCTTGCAGTACATAATTCTAGCCTTGATATTCTTTTATATTAGGAATGCTCTAACTTTTTTCGTTTTAGGTACAAGCATCGGCCTGGATCTTAACAATTCTCTTTTTAAGGGGTATATACAGCTCAATCATCATAATTCTATCGAAACTTCATTTGCATGCGAATGAAATTAGCTAATCGGATAAGACCCGTTTTTATTCAACATCTGAGTTAATTTAAACGTTGTTTTTTAACTAAAATTGAAGTAGACATACAAAGGATATTCATTAAAATGGCTTTTTTGAAGGGCTTATTTTTTGTGCAATAGTGATCAACACGACGTGTGACTTGTACAATTGGTTAAATGATTTTCCGTTTGCCAATAAAATAATTTTACTCTGTGAAAATTTTGTGATATTCCCTTTATCTTTTAGCAGCAACTTTTCTATTGAATTATCTTAAAAATGACTAATTATTATTGGATTATAGCCCAGCATTCTGGGAAAGTACTTGAAGTTAAAGATGGCTCTTTTTGTAGTCTTGTTGAAATTGTCCAAAATACTAAGAAATCTGAGCTTGACTCCAATGTAAATTGTTGCACAATATTCTAATAAAATAGTGTATTATAGCGTAACTATAATCTATTAATTGATTTATTCCTTTTATCTATGTTTAGGTTGACATGCAACTCTGGTATTTCAATGGTGGATTTATTACGAACAAAAGAACTGGCCTTGTGCTTGACGTCGTCGGAGGTAAGTAATATGATTCAATTATTGAAATCAAGTTTTTCTAATTTCTAAATCGAAAAAAATTTCTTCCTCACTAATCAAGGGAAATTTGAGAAATGTGAGTAATTATGTTTAGAAAATAAAATTTTTGTTTTTTCCAATTCCACATACATTTAACGTATTTCAATTTTCATAAGATACGAATATTGTTCAAGACCAAAAGCATGCTGAACCTTCTCGCGGTCAAGAATGGGTATACAATTATGCAGACAATTCTATCAGTTTGAAATTTAATCGTAATTTTGTTCTTGATGTTGCGGTAAAAATGCAATTTAAATTGCTTTTAATTGATATATATAATATTGGAGATCGTAATAATAATTTTTTTTTAAACTTGTATTTTTTATAGGCGGCGAAGACTGATAATAATACTAACATTCAATTGTGGGAAAAGCATGGTGGCAAGAATCAACAATTCAATTTGCAAAAGTGGGATGATGGTTCAGTAGTTGTTAAAGATGCAGTAACGAACATTATTGACAATTTTAAATTTTTGCCAAAATTATCACAAAATTTCCTTGAAATTTTGGATGATGACGAATATTATGATGTTAATATTGAAGTTGGTAATAACCCTCATGTAAGAATATTTCACGCTCATATGGTTATTTTAAGTTACCGTTCTCCTTACCTACGACGAAAGTTGTCAACTAATAAAAAAAATAATGACGGAACTTTGGCACGTATTGAACTTCCCAATATTTTACCAGAAATTTTTGAGATAATTTTAAGGTAAAAACAAATTGAATTAAGATACATATTTATTAATTTTTTTTTAACAATATATTTTTAATTTCAAAAGCATTGTACTTCTAATTTTTTTTAGATACATTTATGGCGGAAAACTTTCTTTAAAGGAATGTGATACGTCAAATATAATTAAATTACTAGTTGCCGCTAATGAACTAAGTCTCCAGGAGTTAGTTATCTATATTTAATCCTTTTTAATTGAAAACAAAACAAACTGGATGGAACAAAATTCTAATTTGATATATCGAACATGCTTTGAAGATGATTCTTTCTTGGATCTTCAACAATATTGTAATGATTTAATATCTAATGAACCTGATAAGATATTCAAATCACAAGATTTCACTTCAATTCCGGAAAAACTTTTAATTACGGTTATCCAAAATGATAATCTTCAAATGAGCGAAGTGCAAGTTTGGGAACATGTACTTAAATGGGGAGTTGCTCAAAATCGAGAACTTTCCTCTAAGAACCTTAGAGATTATAAAGATTATTCAAAAGATGATTTTAATACTTTGAAGAATACCTTGAAGCAATATATCCCGTTTATTCGATTTTACAATTTAACTTCTGAAGAATTTGCATATAATGTACATCCTTATAAAAAAGTTTTACCAAAAGAATTATATGAAAATTTATTATTAAGTTTTTTGGCTCCTAATAACAAGAAAGGTGAATCAAAACCTCGTATATCTAGAAATATTGATTCAAAAGATTTTGACTCAACAATTATTACATCCCAACATGCCGAAATAATCTCAAAATGGGCAATTGGATTAGAAATTACTGATAAATTAAATTCTCCATATGAATTCAAATTATTATTTCGTGGATCCCGTGATGGATTTTATCCTGAAAAGTTTCATAAAA